ATGGGGACGGGTGGGAAATTGAGTGGCTGACGCAAGGGTTGAGAGATTAAGGCTACAGACAAGCAGATTGTCCAGGGTCTTACACATCAATATTTTATTGCCAGGAGGTAAGCTGGTTAATTCCCTTCTAAGAGAATTTCCGGTCGAATTGCTACTGTATTTATCTTGAGTGATCACAAGTGTACCAATGCATGTTATGGTAGAAATAAAAGCTATGCTAATTAGGAAATATTAAGTCCTACGAAGCTAAGTATGACCCTACCCAAGATTAGGTAGGATGACCTTTGATGGGACAATAAAGCTTCGAGATTGACAGTAGGGCAAAACAGGCCTGAGAATATACAAGGCAATAAGGCCCTGTGAACATACAATGGAGGCGGGTCTACTAGGTGGTCAGGCGTGGTCAGGGCATAGACCACAACACGGCACCACTACCTGGGCCCAACTTGTGGTGCCACTACGTGTTACTCATGGGATCCTAGCCAAATCATTTCATGTTTCTGCTACTGAATTCCTGCTAAATGGGTCTATCACTGATGCCACTTACCTGGGAGGAAAGTAGAGAGCGAAATGAGTCAGTGCAAGTGCTCTCAAAATGGAAAGCACTACACAATTATGAAATACGAAGAAAGTAATTTGTATGGGGCTGTCCTTAGAAATCAAGGTAGAAGAAACTTAGGTATGGAAAAGATGAGTAGAAAAGAAAGGAGAAACTGTTATCCAAGAAGAATAACGTGACATGTACAGAACAAAGGATTAAGCAGGCAATGCGGACAGTTTCATGTTCAATGTGGTCTTGAAATGAAAACCTCATAAAAAGGCTGGTATTTATTGACATTTAGGTTCAAGAATTTATTTTTATAAAGTGGTTTCCTTAGAAGTCACACCTTTGAAACACAGTGACTGGGATACACGTAGAGTTGGCTTGAACTTCAGAAACTATAATCTCCCCTCTCCTCATGATGCTGTGTACTAAGAGTATCTGCATCTGTTTTTTTTTTTTTTTTTTTTTTTTCAGTTTGAGAGAGAGAGGCAGAGAGCTAGAGCGAGAATCCATGCAGGCACTGTCAGCACAGAGCCTGACACAGGGCTCGATCCCATGAACCGTGAGATCATGACGTGAGCTGAACTCAAGAGTCAGATGCTTAACTGATTGAGCCACCCAGGTGCCCCACAAGTATCTATATTTCTACATATGGAGAGAAGTACAGGACCACCTGTACTCTCACATGTCCCCCATGCATGTTCCTGTCCTAGCTTCTCTTCTGTTACCTGGAAGTGAAATTGCCTGCTGCTGTTAGACCATACAAACTGAGGACAGAAATCGTGCCTTGTCAAAAGTCTTCAACGGTTCTCCATTCGCTGGCCTTGAGACAACCCAATCCTTAGTAAGGCCTAAAAGGCCCTTCATGATCTGGTCCCCATTCTCTGGTCTTACATGACTACTTCTACCTGGCGATTCAGTCATACTTCTGTTCTTTCAGGCCCTCCAATATGCCAGACTTTTTCCGACTTAATAGCTTTTACACTGGCTGTTCTACCTGCCCAGTGTACCATGTCCCATTCTTGGCTAACTCTTACTCCTCTGGTTTACTTTTGATAGTAGTTGCTCTGACAGCCTCCCTGGAACCCCCTTCTCAAATCTGCCTTAGACTCTTCCAAGCATACCTCCCGCTTCCCTCATCATAGCACTTCTCACGTTACTGTAACTGCATGCTTAATTACCTGTCTCGCCAGACCAGGCACATCATGAAGCAGGTAACGTTCAGTCTTGTTTCCTGATGTTTCTCCCACTTAGCACAGTGCCCCGAGTTAGGAGGTGCGCAGTGAGTATCTGAGGGGTGCTCAAGTTGTCAGTGGCAATCACTGGGCACACACAAATTCGGTGAAAGACAGCCTCGATGGTTCTTTACTGGGAGATAAGGCATGTGGGATTTAGGAGGGCAGAAGGTAACTGGCTGGTGAGGGGAAGGTGCCACTTTAAGGAGCCCACTGCTCTTTTAACCTAAGAAAACTCTATACATGCACTGCTAGCCACCACACATCAGAGGTGCGCTGTACAGCAGACGAGGAAGTTGCAGTGAAGTGAGCAGTCAATGTTTATTTTGAGAACTTTCTGGGGTGACCAGATGGTTGAAAAACATGACACGTCGCGAATCAACTAAGCCTTGTAGGTTAGTAGTGCTAGCTGCCTCCACACCGTGAAATGTGTGTTTTTGTTAATACTCACTGTGTGAAATGGAGAAACTCATAAAGATCACCCTTATTGTAGTAGTCAGTGATTCTCAGTCTTTTGAAATGCATATTTTAAGTTACCGAATGCCCTTTGAAGAGGCAGTTTCGGTTTTGACCACCTGTGATCAGTGCAAGAAGCAGTAAGTCAGGCATCGCCTCATTTCAAAAGAGCAGCAGCCTCTGTGTTGACTTTCCTGCCGATCACTTAGGAAAACTGTCCCGTTTACTAAGCTACAGCAGTTTTCTGAATGCGGTGGGCAAATGACTGGATAAATGTTTAGTACTGTTAAAGAAGTAATACTATACAGTGAGCCTCGACGCTTTTCCAATATGCAACCATCTTTTGGTTATCATCAGCTGGTAAAACATGTTTTGCAATGGTTGCAAGACCGTTCTAATGGACTTAGAAACATACCAATAAGCCATTCAAAGATGGTATGATCCCGAGAAAAGCCAACAACTGATTAAGTCTCTTTTATATCCTCAATAAAACAGCTCAAGAAGGGGCACCTGGGTGGCTCAGTTGGTTGGGTGTCTGACTTCAGCTCAGGTCATGATCTCACGGCTCCTGAGTTCGAGCCCCATGTCGGGCTCTGTGCTGACAGTTCAGAGCCTGGATCCTGCTTTGGATTCTGTGTCTCCCTCTCTTTCTGCCCTTCTCCCATTCACACTCTTGTCTCTCAAAAATGAATAAACGTTAAAAAAAATAAAACAGCTCAAGAAGACAGGCAGATGGCAATCATTTCTATTTATTTCAGGATATAATGCATTATTTAGACCCATGGATGATACTAAATTATAACTATTTATTTATTTAAATGTTTGTTTATTTTTGAGAGAGAGTGAGTGGGGGAGGGGCAAAGGACGAGGGGGAGGATACAGAACCTGAAGCAGGCTCCAGGCTCTGAGTCGTCAGCACAAAGCCCGACGCGGAGCCTGAACTAGGGAACGGTGAGAACATGACCTGGGCCGAAGTCGGATGCTTAACCAACTGAGCCACCCTGGCGCCCCTAAATTGTAGCTATTTAAATACCCACAGGGTATCTTATTTTTGCAAAGATAGGGTCTAAAAATCATAAAACTGGAAAGAA